TGCAGACTGTCGCCAGCAGTTCTTACAAGTTATTGTTCGTGAATGTGATCGTCGTTATCAATGTATACTATATCGATTCAATCCCCAAGATCCGCTGACCCTTTATAATTTCAAAAGAGTTTGTTTCGGCCTAGCTTCGTCTGTGTACCATGCATTGCGCACGGTCAGACAGCTCATCGAAGATGACGGTTCTAGATACCCACTCGCGAGTGCTATATTATCTACCTCGTTTTATATGGATGATGTAGTATTTTCGGTTCAAACAATAGAAGAAGGTGCCGTCGCAGCTGATCAACTAATCGCTCTCTTTAAAGGCGCGCAGTGGGATCTTGTTAAGTGGAATAGCAATTCTCGTACTGCTTTAAATGACATTCCCGCCTCGCACAAGCTGCCCACTGAGGTTGAATTTGATAAGTCAGTACAGCACAAAATACTAGGCTTGCATTGGTCGACGAATGATGACGCGTTTTACTTCAAAATATCTCCTCCAGCTGATGATAAGTGCACTAAGCGCTCCATCTTATCTACTATCGCGCGCTTGTGGGATATAATGGGCTTTGTTGCTCCCACAGTTCTCTACGCGAAGTTGCTAATAAAGCAGCTTTGGCATATTCATCTAGATTGGGACGATACACCGCCGCCCCACATTACTAAAATGTGGAGACAGTTTTGCATCGAGCTGCCGGCTCTCAATGAGCTGCGAATACCACGCCACTTAGGTGTGTTTGTAGATTCCAAAGTCACTCTGTTGGGATTCTCCGACGCTAGCGAGCATGCTTATGGTGGTGTCGTCTACTTACATGTCGGCTCCGTCAATGGTAACTCTACGCGTTTAGTCTGCGCCAAATCTAAAGTAGCGCCAACGAAACCGCTCTCGATCGCACGACTGGAGCATTGTGGATTAGTCTTGCTATCCAAACTACTTCGCACAGTATTAAATAATTACGCTAATCGTATCTCAATCAATACCTACGCTTTTACAGACTCTAAAGTCGCATTATATTGGATAAAGAGTTCGCCTCACAGGTGGCAGACTTTTGTTTCAAACCGCGTAGTTCAAGTTACGGAAAATATTCCAGCTGAATATTTCTATCACGTTTCGGGCGCTGATAACCCAGCCGATTGTCTGTCTCGTGGTGTTACGCCGCAGAAATTAATGTCGCACCCTTTGTGGTTGCACGACCTCCCTGGGCTTTACTCAACCCGCCTCAGTGGCCCCTGCGTGATCTCGACGGTCAACCACTCGAGAATATGCCTGAACAAAAGACGCTGTCTCATACTGTTAACACACCTGTGAAGAAAAGCGCCGTCTATGACCTCGCATTGCGCACGTCATCATGGTCTAAACTGCAACGCATTCTCGTATACGTTTTTACATTCGCTAAGTTATTGCCCCGCCGCGTTACTGTTGCAGTAACTGCTGATCGACTTCAGTTCGCTGAAAATAAATTAATAAGCGCCCTGCAACTGAAATATTTTGCAGAGGAATTTGACAAGCTTCGCAACGAGGTGCCATGCTCGCCTGCCTTCAATAGACTGAGACCTTTTATAGACGATAACGGTCTGATTCGTGTAGGAGGTCGCCTCGACAATTCTGCTCTGAATTCTGCGCTGCTGGAATATGCTCACATGCATCCAGTCGTTCTACCGCGTAATGATCATATAGTGAACTTGCTGATTGATTATTATCATATAAAATATTTACACGCCGGTCCAGAATTATTGATGTCGCTTCTTCGACAAAAGTTCTGGATCCTATCCGCACGCCGCATTGTAAGACAAAGAGTCCGTATGTGCAACACTTGTTTCAGACTCAACCCGCGTCCAACGTATCCTCTAATGGCATCACTTCCTGAATATCGCACGCAACAAATGATAAAGTGTTTTACGCATACTGGCTGTGACTACGCGGGTCCATTTTCGTATACTCCTGTGCGCCGTCGTGGAGTCAGGAGCGAAAAGGCATACATATGCCTCTTCACATGTTTGACTACACGCGCTGTCCATATCGAAGTCGCTACCGACCTCAGCACTCCCAGTTTTCTCGCCGCTCTTAAACGTTTCCTCGCGCGTCGTGGCCCTATCCAGGTAATGCACTCGGATAACGCAAGTAACTTTAAAGGTGCCAACGCTTATTTACGCGACTTATATAAGTTTTATAAATGACGAATATCGTCCGAATTTGGAATTAGAGTTTGCTGAGAGTCGTATCACTTGGTCATTTATTACACCCAATTCTCCCCACAAAGGTGGAGCTTGGGAGAGTATGATCAAAGTAGTAAAAACGCATCTGTATCGTGTTATTGGTCGGCAACTACTTTCTTTCGAGGAACTTTGTACTGTTCTCACTCAGATAGAGTGTTTGCTTAACTCTCGTCCGCTAACAGTACTGAGTTCCGATCCTGGAGAAGCCTCTGCTCTATCGCCAAGCCACTTTTTACACACCGCGCCTCTTTGTTCTCTACCCGCGCCTGAAGTAGAGTCTGATAATCTCAGTTTACTTCAGAGACATTCGCTACTGGACAAGTTAGATCAGTCATTTTGGAAACGATGGAGGATGGAATATCTGCATGGACTTCAGATTAGACAGAAATGGAATACTCCTTCCACACCTATCACTCCAGGATTAGTCGTGGTTGTGATAGATGATAACGCACCTACTCTCTCCTGGCCATTAGCGATCGTGGAGAAAGTCCACAGCTCGAAAGACGGTATCATACGCACTTGTACTGTCAGATCCGCGAGCGGAACTTACATCCGTCCTACCGTTCGTTTGTGCCCTCTTCCGCGTCAGTAATTTATTACATAACTTATATTGTTTATTAGCATTTAGTTTATCAATTTTAAGTAACACCGCATCTTACCGCATCTTGTAAATAATACTCCCGCATCTATAATCACTCTCTCATAAAACTCTAGAGAGACCGCTAGTTTAGAATAGTTTAATTTTAATTTGCTCAATTATGAGTTTCTTTATGTATTATCCTATTTTCTATTTCCTCTTGAGATATTAGACCTAGTTCTAGTCTCAGTTATGGTTGTCCTTTTAAAGGTGACCCTTTAAGGGCGGGCGGAAATGGTAACGCCAGGTATAGTTTCTCTGAGCTCGCACCTCCTTACCTTTCCCGTCCTAATCTGTGCTACGCCAAGCCATATAAATCGCTAGTGAAATTAAAAATAAGTGTGACGTTACATTCAAATTGACAAATCCGCATCCGCATCGCAAATATATTATTAAAATTAAATATCCCGCTCTCCGCCCGGCATTGAGCTGTGTACGCAAGATATTACATGGTGGCGTTATTGGTGAAGCCGCACGTGAAAGTGTGAATGAGACGAGCTCTACGACTTTTCGGACATAAAGGTTGGTGGTAGCACGGTTCCATTTCCTTTTACTTGCGAGCTCATCTATCCCGCAGCTCCCCACGAGCTATCGAAGGTCGTTTTTTTTAAATTTTTTAATTATAGCGTCATCACTAATGTTCTAATTAGATTAGATTAAATTCGTAATTAGCACCCCCAAATACCTCGAAAATGATACCTATATTGCTTTTATTTGAAAAGTCGTGTCCGCCATCTTGGATTTAGAAATAAATGTTATATTCGTAATGAGCACCCCCAAATACCTCGAAAACGGCACCCAACTTGCCATTATTTGCAAAATCGTGCCTCCATCTTGGATTTAGAAAAGAGTGCCATATTCGTAATGAGCACCCCCAAATACCTCGAAAACGGTCCCGGTCTGTCTGGCCGTGTGAGACCTGGCATTATCGTGGTGCAAGATGATACGGCGTTTACGGTTATTTTTACGGAGTTTGTCAATAACTTCCGGCTCATCTTGAAAGACCATACGCTCGATTGCTGGTTTGTTTTGGGATCGTAATTATAAATCTCATCAATTTGACGCCCCTTCGTTGAATCTGGTACGCTTGGCATTGCACCAAGTGACTCGATCCGTTTTTCGAGACTCAATCAAATTGTGTGGGATACACTGATTTGACAGCTTTTTCACTGTTGTGTAGTAGTGATTGTATTTGACTCATGCCTATGCCTAAAGATGCCCGAATCTCATGGTATGTCACATGTCTGTCTGTTTTGATCATAGGGCGCACAGCATCGATGTTTTTGTTGTTCACAGTCACAGTTGTGGACGGGCGATCATCACGAAATTCATCAATGAGATTCACACGACTGCGTTTGAATTCTGTAAACCAGCTATAAATAGTCGTCTTGCATGGTGCTTCATCGCCAAAAGCAGTTTGAAGCCGAGCGAAGCTCCGCTGAGCTGTTAAATCATAAGTCGTAGAAAATCATACTACAATTTTCACGAGTTAAATCCAGGGTGATGTAGACAACCATTTTCTTGACAGTCAGATGAAACAAACTGTATTCTACAGCCAAATAGTTTCATTTTCAAATGTTGTAATTTTTTCAATATTGTTTATGCAAGTGGCCAGTTCCGGAAACTTATAGTGCGCCCTATGTATAAGAAGTTGAAACCTGTTATAGTGCCGTTTGTATCTGGTATTTATTATTTCGACAGCGGTTCTAATACTAATCGAGGTTTAAGCACTTCCATTGTTATTTTTCTTCCGTGGTCTTATCATAAGAATATCTTTACAAATCAAACTTATTGATACACCGTTTTCATGTACGGACAACGGCACATCAGACTACACATTTTTGTTTGAAAATCGCCTTCCATTGCAACGGAACAAGGTACGTCAATGTGTAGCTTGATGTGCTGGCGTGTGTACATTTTAAAATTTTTAACACAAATCTAACAAACAATATACAGAAAGAACACGTATAAAATATCGTTTGAACTTCACATGCTTCTCTTTACAAATTAACTTGTGGGTACAACTTTAATGAGTCTTTTAATGAGTACTTAACAAATGACCACAAATTAAAAATCCACTTCCAAGTAATAATTAGTTGACGATGTACACAACAGAGGTCATGATATATATAATGATGACCCATTTTAATCTCACGACCAGTTGTTTAAATTGTCTTGCCGGAACAAGTTGTTTTTCTCGTCTAAATTCACTCACGCACTATGAAGCTCTTTTTGGTTTTGTGCGTCTTCGGTATTGTAAGCTTTGCTGCTGCCAAGCCTCAAGGACGAGGCTGCATCTGGATTATGGGGAGATGTAAGTTATTAGAAAATTTTCGTGTACTTTGCTGATGTAAGGATAGATAGAAATAATTTTAACTTTTTCATTGAAAAAAAAACACCCTTCAAAAGTTTGTTTATCGACTCTAATTAGATTCTGACTTCATTAGTGACAATGGGACATTTACGGACTCCTTCAAGTCTCAACTCCGTCAAGTGAGACCACCTCAAATACCCTTTCAAACAAAAAATGAATTTTCAAAATCGTTCCACAATTGATGGACAATTTGGTGGACATGCCTGTAAAATTTGAAGATTTGCTTCGATTTTCATGGGATCCCCTCATCAGATTGTGACTTGGTGACAATGGGCCCACCACGAAAGTGCACCCTTTCAAACAAAAAAAGAATTTTTAAAATCGATCCACAATTGATGGAGAAATCTGAAAACGTACACAAAACATACATACAGCCGAACGAATAATCTCCTTATTTTTTTGAAGTCGGTTAAAAACGGGTACTTGAGATCGAATGCCGTCTGACCAAACATTACAGGTACTGTAATCATCTAGCTCTCGATGTATGATAATTCAAACATTGTAAAATTAAATGTGTACAATTTGTATATTTACAAAGAGCAACCCCTACAGTTCTTGCTCATACTTCTCAGCGGAATCTGCCTTATTGATGGCCGTTTTGACAGATTACAGTGAGGTCAAACCTCAATTCATTATCAAAAAAAGTATAATCAAATGCGAGTCGTATCTATAACTTCAGATTTCTGACTAGTATTGCAAAGGGTAGCTGATTAAAATTTCATAAAACGCAAATAAACGTGTTTACTTAATATGTCGTCAATTCGAAACTGCTTTGTTTTACATTGAGCTTTGATGCGAGTTTGCCGGAGGTAGAAGTTGTGCCGGACAGCGATCCTATAGCATCGACTATAAGGCTCTACTCATACTGGCGCAGAGTCGAAGCGACGTGTCGCGTCCTGTTTTTCAACTACAACGCCTGGCGACACGCGTCGACGCGTGACCACCCTCGCATTAGTGCGCCCGGATCACTGTGTGGTCGGCGTCTGACGTCTCACTGCGCCCAAGTAACTCCATATTTGCATAACACAAATTTGTTCCTTAATAAAGGGAAAATAGAGATGAATGAATGAATGAATGGATGAAATGCTATAGGCGAAAACATGACGCGTCGAGACGCTTTGACTCTGCGCCAGTGTGAGTTGAGCCTAAGTCACTATCGTATTAGATTTAATTTTTTTAAATTTCGAATTTCGATAAGCAAATACCGAGTTGTGTCGTAAAATTATATAGAATGACATGATAGAGAAGGTGTAGAAGAAGTTTGCAAGATTTGCGTATATAAAGGTGTACAATGTTTACCCGTATCTTTTCCCTTCTATGTTTGCGTACGGAATGATTGGATTAGACAGCTTATTGCCGAGGCGTAAACTAATGCTGATAATGGATTATCACGAGTTTTTGAATGGTGGGGTTGACAACTTGAAAGTGGTATTTCGGGTGGGTCTGTTTGTACCTGACCAATATTTGCGTGGCGGTGGTGCTGTGCTGCAGAGGTGCGTGCGTCCATTGCTCGCGACACTTCGCTCGGGCCCCTGCAGTGGCGCACAGGCGCCTACTGTTCGGGCGACTTCTTTCCTTAACCAATTGCTCACAACAGTCACGTGCCGACATATTTCATGACGGTTCAAATGAATTCTTGAACTGACGACACCCGTCAATTGTTTAGAATTCGGGCTTGCCCATCGAAGCGCATTTGTCACCGTAATGATTTGACAGAATAATTTTCAAACAAATTTGAAAAAAAAAGACATTTCGTCTCTATTCCCGGTTATACACTCGATGATTACAACACACAATGTAGGTATATCTAATATAATAAATATACTATCAGCAGTCCTGACATAGGTTATCTTATTAAGACTAGCAAGCAAGGTTGGACTGTACAATTTGTGTTATTTGTAATTTAAATACTTATTTGATATATTGTAATATATTGTTCATAATTGATTCTTAACTACATGACAATAACTATCAACTTAATGTTTACCAACGCTTCTGTATTGATAATAATAATATATAAATTTATTTCTCTTCGAAATTTTGGTTACAATTTTTGACACGGAAATAGATCTCGCACTCCTCGTGGAAGAATGGCTTAAGTGGAATTACGTCAATCATGTTTATTGCTCCATTAGATACAAAAAGAAATATAACCCACATCCTCTTCAATTAGAGATTAGATACAGAAAAATGTAATCTATATCCTCTCCAATTCTTGTAACTCTATCGACTAATGTTGTAGATCCTCCAATTAATAATTTCATAATATAATTTTTTTTTTTTCTCTCATAGCAAATAAATGGAAACTTAAGGCACAGAGTTAGCAAAATCTAAATTGTGAGAGACAGGAGCCTAAACTAGGATACCCCTGTGTCTTAGGTCTCCTGGTCCCCCCTCTTGATTGAACAGCTTTTTACTCTACTTAAGTTATAGTAGCTTACAATGATATTATACTTCTAAGTAGCTTACATTACTAAACATCAATAATCACTTATAAATTACTTTTTTACTTTCTTTTTCTTTTCCAATTGAAGAGGTTGTGGCTTATAATTTTTTGACGTAACTCCACCTATTCCATTCTTCCATGAGGAGTGCGATCTTGTTATCTAAAGTGACAAAATTTGTAGGACTGGAATCTAAACTATATCAGAACTCTATGCTGATGCCATTTAAATTTACACCAATTATAACAGAGATGTAATGTAAACATTTTAAACTATACCTACTGTAAATAAAAAAACCAAGGGAACATGTATGTAAAACAGTCGTGTGTGTCTGTGTGTATGTGTTTTTGAGAGTGTGCAAGGTGTTGCTTGTTTCATATTTTATTTTTCCACATCTATGTTTCTAACTGCCTCTGTGGCAGAACGGTTACCATGCCGGACTGCCACGCAGAGGTGCCAGGTAAATTCCCGGGCCGGGAGAAATATTTGTATGACCTACATTTATTTCTCTCGTGAGTTTGGATGTAATTTGTGGTTGTCTATGTGTGTGTCCATGGCACCCGCGACACAGACATTATATTTAATTCATGTCTTGTTTGTTATCCTAAAAATAAATAAATCAATTTCTTTCTTGCTTACACGATACTCTGTTTTTTGTTTTTTATAATATCAAATGACGCGACGGACAAATCGTGCGCCTGATAGTAAACTACACGCCTGTTCATAACAGTTGCAGTGCCACTCAGAGCTTTAAATCGCAAAGATCTGAGGGGCACTGCCACTGCGCCCGTCACCCTGAGACATCAGTTGACAAGTCTCATGTGCCTGTAATTTCACCAGCACCCTAACCCTTCAAAACCGGAACACAGTAATGCTGACATTTCTGCTTGGCGTCTGAAATAGGTAAGGTGGCAGTACTTCCCTGGACGAACTCTTTCACAAGAAGATCTACCTGCTACTAATGTATGTGTGTATATACAAAAACATTTATTTTATTTTTTTCAGGTTCGAGAGAGTGTCCGGAGGGCACTCACGGCTACTCGGTGGGGTGTGGGCATTTGACTCCCGAAGCCACCTGTCAGAATCCAGAACCTAAAGAGGACACCCGTGGACAAATTTGCGACTACTCCGCTTGCTACTGTGACGCCCCCACGGTCCGGGACACAACCACCAACAAGTGTGTCCCCCTCGAAGACTGCCCCAAGCATTAATAATATACAACAGATATTGATATCAACAGAAATTTAATTCACAGATACTTAATAAATCTACGGACAATAACCACTATTATAACATCAAACATCATTCATATTATAACACCTTAAAAGTTTTTGAAATAGCGTCTATTTGCCAAGTTTTGTTGAAATCCATTAAAACGGATTCAACCCTTCATTTGCCACCCTAAGCGCGTGTGTGCACTGCATCCGATCTGTATTCTTTCCGAATCCGAGACTACAAATCTAGAAAACTCCGACCTGCTTCGGATGTCACTTGTGCACTAAGTAGCAGTAGAGCTACTTGTGAAAGAGTTCAGGGAGCTGTGCCACCTGTGACAGTGCACCTCTGAGTGGCACTGCAACTGTTATGGACAGGCGTGTCGTTTACCATCAGGCGCACGGCTTAATCGTCCCGTCACTTAGTATCATAAAAAAACTTCAGATTCAAATCCTTGAAAGCACGAATATCGCTTGAAGACCTAGAGATAATGATCCCTGTGACATTACGGACAGTCATTTCTCGGATTCTAAAGATGTGGAATATTTTCTCCAAATTTGAATGTGACCAACACTGAGGTACGCCCTTTCCAACAAAAAAGATTCATCGATATCGGTTTACTAATGCAGTGCCGAAAGTGACGATGGACTGTGGTGCACCAATTTTTTTCTTTCGATGAAAAAAAAAGATAATGTTGACACGTTCAACTTCACAATTTCTCGTACATTACGTATTTATGTAATATAAATTGGTATATTTTGTTCTTATTATTGTTGACATTAAATTGATAAAAATAACCAATTGTGTTTATAAAATTATTTTAATTCATTTAATTCATATCACTTAATCACACAAAATAAAAGTACCTACAAGCAAGAATAAAAATGTGTGAGGTGTACATTCAGAACGCATCCGAAAATAAACTTTTTCTTCGATTAAAAAAAACTGATGTTTTATAATTCAACTGTTTTTTCTTTCATCTACCATTTTCCTCTCTATAGTGAGGTGAAAAGATGTGTGCTCGCTAGGCAGCAAAGTTGTTTTGCGTCTCGTGGCTTGAAACCCTCGCTACGCTCAGGGGGCCAATCGCGCTAATTGTCAAAGGTTTAACCAAAACCTCCAACCTCGCCAATCTGACACGTTGTGTACATTTCGTATCGCGCTAACTGTCAAAACAAAAACCTAAGCCTAAACTTAGACGTGTGACACGTAACGCACATTTGGTATCGCGCTAATTGTCAAAGGTAAAACCTAAACCTTAAACGTTGCCAATTGGTATCGCGCTAAATATTTTGACGTATTAACCTCACATGTAACCTTGGGGGCATAGATTAACCTTTGAAAGATTAACGTTTGTGTGGCAGTTAATGGAGAGTAACTTTTCACTACATTTATCGTATATTAAAGATGTTCCATGGTTACTTAAATGTTTCGGAAAGTGTTTATGAGGTGGATGTGGCCTAAGAACGGGCTTTAAATAAAAGAAAAGCATAGAAAGACGATCACATTTAACATGTCTGAGGAGAAATTCCGCAAACGATATACCGTTTGTCCACGGAATTCATTTCAGGATTGGTGGAAGAACTATGCCTACATATTCTCGTTAAAGGACGGTCTGTTGCATTGGATGTGGAGACAAAGGTAAGGGTTAAGTGGAATCCGAAAGTTCTCAGTTTTGCATAATAACCAAAATTTCTATACTGTGTAAATCATTATTAATTTTGTTACCAATTTTAATAGCTCGTATAGTCTTTAACAACTGGGGTGTACCAGACCCCCATTGGCAAGTGCTTATCACCCTTTCCCAAGCCAGTGTCAGAAAGGCACAAGCGGTAGCTGCTTCAAATAAACCAGTTATTATGAATAAATATGCAGCTTTCCTAAAAGGCATGCCGAAAGAGATGGTATTAAAAGGCGGTGAGAAAATAAGCTTTACAATGTACATCATATTTATTAGTTCTTGTCTTAATATTTCCTGTTATTATTATCAAATAAAAATGAGAGATATAGGTAAAATATGTATAGTTGTATAAAAATATATTACAAGGTTACAATTTATCTCTTTTAACACTTGACTTTATACAACATATCGTCCCCTTACAGTGAAGCCTCACATATGCATTTTCAGTTAGTTTTTACTGATTTTTGTTGAATAAAAATTAATAATGTAATAATATAGTATCTAAAAGAGGTATAATTTAAGTAATTAAAATGCTAACTACACACATTATTGCATTTACTATACTTCACACCATATTTTTATCTTCATCCTAAAAAATTACATAGAAATATGAGGTATTCATTCTAAGATGACGATGTATACCTATTGTAATTGTTTATTATCTTAATATCTAAATTGATGTATACTTTTAAGAGGTTGAAATAAAAAAAAGAGTGTATTTTTAGTTTATTTATTGCCTCAATCTACCCCAAATCATCCTTCATTTCCAGAGCGAGCTTGCTTTTGATTCTTCAAAGAAGTCTGAAACAAAAATATGTATATAGTAAGATTGGAGACCTAAATTTAAGACTGTGCCATACCTCTCATGAGAGTAGTGACAGATAAAGCAGGATGGGTATTTATATACATACAGTATGAAGCCAACATAAACGCCAGAATGTTTAGGGGCCTTTTCAAAATACATTTAAAAAAATGTTTATATCACTGTGGAAATATAAAGGGGACAAAAGTCTACAGATTAGACCTTCGTTCCTTACGCTCTTTCAGATTTCCACAATTGAACATATCATCAGCAGGAATTAAGAAAACATGTTGAAAACAAACCTGTCATTCTTGTTAAATATTCTATCAAAAAGGTTAACTGCAGGCACCAACTCGGTAATTGCTTTGCAAATGGCAGCTACGGATTGGGCATGCAGATCATCTGTTTTGGCAGAAATAATAGCTGCCTCAGCCTGCACCCTGCCAGCATTCACTTGTTGCAAGAATGCTTCGCATGCTCGCAGCTCCTCAATGCATAAGAATTCTACCCGGCTCTGCTCCAACGCTCATCAACTCGCTGTCAACAAAATAATAGATGTGATGTAATAAAGAGTGGGAAAGAATTTGCTCAAATTGAAAGTTACTTTGTTTTTTAATTAATAATAAAGAGTGAGAAAGTTACTTTGTTATTGAATTGTATGTTTGAAGTTATTTTGTGCTAGAGTTGGTGTCCTTTAGGAAGGTTGGTAGGGCCTCTGCCGCAGTCGATGTGGCGTAGATTCTCACCCTGCTTTTCATACCATTCCATACCTGAATAACAATAATAACATTGCATATTATAGTGATATGACTTCTGGTACAATAACGGTGAGTGATCCACTCACTGTATCCTATTACCTAGCATTATAGCTCACCTTTTGGGATCTATTGCGGGGCCACAAAATCGCCACACACTCGCACCAAAGGCGTGCTGATAACACGCGCGAACAACGCCGAGCGAAGTCATTCTCAAGCCACATCTCTGTGCGATTCGAACTCCAGCAAAGATGGAGCTGGCTTACAGTGGTCGCTCGCCGTCCGACCGCATCCACACTGGCTGAAATACGAGCATCATTATTAATTCTACATTGCTAACATTTCGAAATTAATAGTAGTTAGCGTACCTATTTGATTGTATAAAAAGATACTATTTTATGAAATAGAATATTAAAAAAGGAAAACAATGTGTAGGTACTTGCCTCTGCGTGTTTTATCTACAACAACAACACACTAAATTCAATTAATTTGGTTCAAATCACAACACATATGTTTGTTTACAATAGAATTTAATGACATTTCTTTTACACACTTTTTTAAATCGCTCTTTTATACACTTGAATTCGTAGATATTGACATTTCAGTGCGTTTTACGGTAAAATTTAGTCGGTTTTAGGAAGTCAAGGCACGTCTCTTAAAATTTAATACGAGGTTATAGTTTGAGGTTAATTTGAGGTTTAGGTTCATTAAAACTGATAGCGCGATTGCATTTTGTGCGTCTGTAGAACCATTAATTAAATAAAACCATAACCTCAAATGTTGTAAGGTTAAACCTTGCGAAAATAGCGCGATTGGCCCCCAGGGATCTATTTTTGAACCACTCTCTTGCGTAACAAATAACTATTGTTATGCAAGTTATTAGACTCGAGTACTTATTTTGAAACTTGAGCAAGCGAAAAAATCAAAAACAGAATCCTGAGTTTTTAGTGCGAAAATAGAAGCACTGTAGACGATAGTTCGCAGCACCTCTTCCAGCAATAGCATGTACCGTCACATACAGGGTCAAGCACGTTAAGCAAATTAAATTCTATACCGCTCAAAATAAGAATTTTATTTTACGTATATTTATTTTGAATGGATAGCCAACACAACACATCTGTACATTCTAGATGTAAACCTTATACATATCGTATCTTACAGGCTACCACAGGATTCTAATAGTAACAAGCGGGTTTTGTTATAACATATAATAGGTTTACACTTTCAAATTCATATTTTTATTACTTAATATGAATGGAACAATCTTACCGGATTTAAATCGCGCATATTAGTTTTTTCAAACAAACCAAAGTTTCGGGCTTTACAGGTCTCACGGTCAGTCAACCGTGATCATGGAACCTGTAAAGGACCTGATACGTTGATGTGTTTGAAAAAAAAAAACAAATATACGTGATTTAAACCCGGAAAAATAGTTTCATGTGTAACAATGTAACTATGGCACAAACCTAAGAACACGAACTTGATATACAATGACGTAACATTTAATATAATTTTATTTTAATTTTTGGTAAACATTTCTCTTTTTATTTTGTAGGTGAGCAGGGAAAAAATTATCTAAAATCTAATAATCTTTAAAAATATTTAAATCACATAGCCTATGAAACTGATTATAAGTTTTAACTACTCATAGGAGCAGAGATACCAGGATTATTTCTAGACGCACGAGTTTTAAAAGGTATATAATTTCTCAGTCTTGTTCAGGTCGCGTTTAGGTTCTCGGGTTTCTCTCAGAGAAAAGTTTAAGGCGTCTGGCATCGTGACTGTGGCACCACGGTACATTTACTCAAATATTTTATATGCTAGTAAAAATATAAATAATTTAAATAAAGAAGAAGATATCTATAATATTAATTTTAGAGCTAAGTCCAAACTCGTGGTACCACGATTTCGTTTAACCAAGGCAAACGACTCTTTTATGGGGAACTACATACGTTTTTACAATAAGATTCCTGAGCATAGATTATCATTTCCTTAGTTTAAAAACTACATTAAAATCATTTTGATTGAAAAGTCATTTTAAAATATTGAAGACTACGGGATAGATAAAGGTGTATGGAAATACGACATGGCTCTAGATTCCACACAAATTTGATTCATAGTGTATTCCATAGCATTTAAATTTATTTGAAAAGAGCAATCCCTAGAATTTCTTGCTTGACTTCTCGGGGAAGTCAGTGTAATGAACGAGCAGTAGCTTAAATGTGACATTTTTAAGTGTACATTTATTTTACCTGTGGAATAAATGATTGTTTGACTTTAACTTTGCACGAAATCGCATTGCATTAATTCGCGTCAGTTTCCTGCGCTGCGAATTCGCATCACGCCGATTCGCAGTTTTGTGTTACGACCCTTACTGAGAAGTGCTGGAGAACCTATTGAATTCACAATTCTATAGAAAAAACATACATTCAGCATTGTTCTGCGATTACACAGAGACTGCGCCCAATATCTCTTCAAGTGTTTGGCGTAAGTGCATCGAGTATTTAACCAGAAATAGAGACGAAATGTCATTTAATTTGTTTGAAAACTATTCTGCCAAATCATTACGGTGACAACTGCGCTCCGATTGGCCAGCCCGAATTCGAAACAATTGACGGGTGTCGTCAATTGTTTCACTTCAAATCGCACAGTTTCTTGAGCTTTGCTATAATGCACGAAAATTAAAAAATTACACATTTAATATTTAATTTGATTCCGTTTGTTTTGTAATTAGATGTTTTGTTGTTTTTCCCACATCACGAAATGGAACAGCCCTCCATTGTTATAGATATTATCTTTATTACAACAAATACAGAATATTTTTGGAATATACGGAGACGTACACACAGGTCAGTTGTTGGCGCTGTACTATTTCAGCTCTCTAATTTGTGATTTCAGTGCAAACGAGAGTTGTATTTAAAAGTGAGATAAGGCCCATTTGCCTGATGAATGGGATGGATGGCCCTTATTTCGTCTCTGTTTCTGGTTATATACTCGATGCGTAAGAGTCACAAGTGTCCAGAGCTCCCTCCCAATAACAAAGAATGATCCAGAGTCAAGCTTGATACATTGGCACCCATTAGTTAACCTGTAAATAAATAACATAAGTCATTGAGGTTATTGTTAATACAAAGATCGAAAACAAACAGAAAGAAAAACTTCTTCGACCCAACTAGACTCATTCTTCGAAAGCGTTTTTTCGGCACTAGCGTGGAAAAGGTTTTTAAAATTCGAACTTGATGATAGACTGTGGTGCACCTAACTTTTTCTTTCGATGAAAGAAAAAACATAATGACACGTGGAAAAGCGTACACGTACGTACTACGCGATTTGTCAAACATTATTTATACAATGTAAATCAGTTGGTACATTTTATTTTTATTATTGTTGACATTAAATTGGCAATGGTGACAAATTTTTGATATATGAATGAATAAAACTGATTTGTTATAATTCAACTGGTGTTTCTTTCATCTACCCTGCCGTCCACTAACTACACGTGGCTAAGTAACAAATGGTCAAATATCCGTTTTAAATAGCAAAAGATTCTCTTTTCAAAACTGTTAAAATTAGTTAACGTGTTTCATTAAACAACACCAAGATTCTACTGGGTTATATTTTTGTATGACATCTCAAAAAATATTTTGTCAGCCGCGTTTTAGTTAATGGACGGCAGAACCATTTTCCACGCTATAGTGAGGTGAAAAGTTGTTTTGCGTGTCATGCCTTGAAGCTCTCCCTACGCTCAGGATTCTATTTGTAAACAACTTTGCAGCTTTGCATATGAAATAACTACTTAATACAATCGACTAAAAATGTAGTATAAGTTCAGGTAGGGTTAAAAAAAACACACTTTATTTCGAGTCAAATGTTTTGAGCAAAGGAAGAAGAGATAGACACTGAACTAGCCTCTGTTTATCAGTCTTACAACTTTTAACAATTATTACGCTAAATTCAATACGGCGTATTTCCCTTGAAAATTGTGCTAGCGTTTCTATACCCCCAAATGATGGGTCAGATGAACAGTCATCGTATTCCCTAGAATATACCTATACGGAAGACAAATAACAATGGAACTGTCTAACCCTCAATTACTATCGGAACATTCTTCATTTGAAACACTAAAAATCTTGATAATGATAGGTCGTAATTTCTAATTTAAAAAGAAATAACAAATTCTGGATTGTTAATATAATTTAAACTTTACGCTGTTGGCATGTCGTTGAATGTTCAATACCATCAATACCTATTATTGCAAGTTACGACGTTTTGATTGAAATTACAATCAATTTGCTGCCATCTAGCGGTTAATTGCTGAACGACGACGAATTGGAGTTATTAATTTAGTTCTCCGAAAAAAGAAATGACCATATTGCAAGGGTATATAATGTTTTCTTTCGTTTCTTGTAACAAAAAAAATATTTCGATAAACAGAAAATTGAAAATTTATTAAAATAAGCCTTACCGGTGATATGAAATACCACCACGGGTAATATTTTTTGGTGGGGCTATCATTTTTGCACTCCAAAACAGCACAATAAGGCATTTATCAAGGGTTTTAGAGAATTTGCACGAAAGAATGACACAACTATACCATACAAAGCGAAAATGACAGACTGAGCTCAAGTAGTTCTTTCGAGACCTTATGTTGGCACGCGTCAGACTCTAACTAACCAATTCTACTGTATTTATTGTTCTGTGGTTCTCAACATCATCCTAGCGACAACTGTTCAAAGTCGTTTAGACTAATTTGTTTGTCTATTTTATCGACTGAAAGACTATAGTGCTAAACTGTTTGTAATTGACAATGAGTTAAGGCTTCAAGTCCCTATTCCCCCGGTGTTCTTATTACCCCTTCGGATCATATATAAAAGTTTTATTAGTTCAGGTACCTGAGTGCCCGATACAGTTATGTTCCGCCTCCATTTTCTCCTATACAGAAATATTGCCGCTACTCCTACACACAAAATCACCAGGCCCACGCCCACGCCTACGTAGATCCATCTAGAAGCATCAACCTCTGTAGATGCAGGTTTCGATGTATGTTTAAATGATGTATCTTAAAAGACAAAAGTTGCGTTAATTGTAGAATCATACATGTGGTTTTGAAGTCAGATTCTGACAAATTACTTTCTGAAATGTTGATACTACAACGATTTTTACATACAATTAAAAGCAGCTCCTTGTGAAAGAGTTCGCCCAAGAAAGTACTGCCTTACCTATTTTTGCCACCTAACAATAACGTGAGCATTTCTGAGTTTCAGTTTTGAAGGGTAAGGGTGCTGGTGAAATTACAGGCTTATTGGACTTTTTTTATGACACCAAGCGACAGGACGATCAACTCGTGCGCCTGGTGTTCGACACGCCTGTCAGTAGCAGCGCCACTCAGCTTTAAATCGCAAAGATTTGACAGACACTGCCATTTCTCTTGTCACTTTGTTTGACTGAGAGCCGACAGTGGTGTTTACTACTAAATGATTTTTATCCATGATAATAAAAATTTTGTTATAAAAACTAAACATCTCAGTCGGTTCTTAGCCATCATCATCCTATATAGCCTCCTCCACTTCTCATATTTCATCGCCAGCCCCCTTTATAGCTGCTCACTTTGATCCTCTTCTTTATTTGTCCAGTATACGCCATTCTTGGTCTTTTTTTCCCTTCTATCTTCCCCTCAATAATCACTCTCACAAATTCGTCATTACGTAACAAATTATCTTTACCTTTATTGTATTGAAAAGACTTCTTTCTTCGCTAACTCTTTTCAAATTTCAAAACTCAAACTTAAAACTGACTCTCAGCTAACAAACTTCTTTTCAAGTATAAGTCGTCAGTACTTACTTATAAAATTAACTCTTGCGTGACATGGTCTGTTTACGTCACTGGGATCGATCAACATATTTCTCCGTGTATCATTATAAGGGAATGCATCTCCTCTTAAAAAGCAATCGAATTCGCCATCCAATGATGGTACGGGCTGAAAATATTAAAAATTTTAATAAGCACGTTCCAATAATTGTACGGGATCATCAAGTACGGGCAGGGATTTAGGCCGGTTTACCCAACAGTAGTCTGAAATGACATTTTCCAGAAATAATGTTTGGTCGAAAGTTCATAACCTCGAAAGTAATTTTGAGAGTAAAATGTTTTTTTTTCTTTTAAACCTAACTTAACCTAACCTAACCGAACCTAATCGTGTCTTTGCGATAAACATCCAACATATCCTGAAAGAACAACGTTTCGTTACAATTCTGTTTTCGGTGTAATGAAAATTCGAACAAACGTCATTTCGGAGAAAAAAAATTCGAATTTGTGATAGGTTACCCTTTTTTACTTATGCATTAATTTGAAAATAATTACTTACTATAGTGGCAGCGGCAAAAAATTGAGAAAGTGTTCTATCTTCCACATTAGTTAAATTTGCTTCCAAAACTATGCTGTTACTTTTGGTATCATTGTCGACTCTTTCACACCTGAAATTAAGTACATTTACTTTTACTTTTTTTTAAATTATTAATACATAGATCGAAAAGAATCCTTCGATCCAGCTGGATTCGAACCAACGACCTGTTTTTTTTTTTATCGACTTTTTGCCATCCATGAGAAATGGTTCTTATTTCTTTTTATTGTTTTTGTTGAAACTACTAATCGTCTACGGTTGGCCGCAGGGTTCTTCGGAGTACTAGTACCAAACTGTTAGAATTTTTTTATTACACTAAGAGACGGGACAAACAAATCTTGCGCCTAGTGGTAAGCGTCACGTCTGTCCATAACAGTTGCAATGACGCTCAAAGGGCACTGCCACTACGCCCATCACCTTGAGACGTAAGTTGAAAGGTCCCAGGTGCTTGTGATTTCACCAGCACCCTTACCATTCAAATCCGGAACGAATTAATGCTCGCATTACAGATTGGCGGCTGAAATAGCTAAGGTACTAAGGGAAATAGGTAAGGCAGTACTACCCTTTTTTTGTTGACCCGGGGGCATCTGTTTACAGACCCCGGCCCGCGGGGGCAGAGCCTCTCCACTGGAGATACGGGTATGCTATAGCACTCGTCGAAGGGAGATACATCGCTCCCCCGACTGCGAATGTGTGGCTCGCCGAACACCACACGAGTCTTCCATCCCTGGCCCTCTACGCTGGACAACGAACTCCCCCAGCCCCCACGGCGAAACTATCGGCGAAATTCTTTCACAAGGAGCTCTATCAGAAGCAGTAGAGCACTGCTTTAAAAACCAAATTTAGTAATACCAAAATTAAACTCACCAAAATGTATAAAGATTTTTATTGTAGAATTGGATAAAAACCTTCACCGTTAAGGTGCCGTCCTTTTTCATTGTAAAATTCCGGGTTGGTACCAGATTTGCACATTCAGTGTCTCCGTTCGTCAATTCAAAGAGCAGCGTGCTGCCTTTTGCTTTGTTTTCTGAACATGAAATTTATATTAAAAAAATTTCTTTTTACTTGACTGAGGCGAAATTAGAGAAATATTTTCGACATTCATTATCGGCTTGAAGCCAAATGACAAAAAGAAAAAATGGGCAAGGTGAAAATTGTTTTTCATGCTACCAGAAAAAATTTTCACCAAGGTTAAGATAATGTTAGGCTGCATGCAGTCGAAATTCTACTGCGTGCAGTTGAGACTTAAATTTCAAGCGTCGATGTGAATGATAGTCTGAGGACTAAAAGTAGTAATTGACATTCTTACAAAAAGACAACTTTTTTTAGTAACGGCAAAAGGTAATGATTATTTGAAGGTATAATCAACATTTTCATCTCATATTAGTTTCGTGTACAATGTGTACATTTTGCGGTAGAAGGAGCGCATCGCGTGAGCGGTTATAGGTGGCGTTAGGGGTGGGCGTGACACCTACTCAGGCCGCCGCTTTTATTAACTTATTCAGTTTGTTTTTTTAAAATGTGACTAAAGAACTCCGAAACTAGATACATGGAAACTGTCTTAGGAATCATTAGTCTCTTTTTTTTTGGTGAAAAGAAATTTGGAGTATAGTCAATTTTTGGGTCAAGCTATATTTTTTTAGTGCTGTCCGACTCAGTTTCATGTAAGAACTACTTCATTGTATTGGAAGAAAAAAGTCGCGATAGCAGAAGTTAGTCAAATAAAATGTTTTTTTAACCAACTTCTGCTGTCCCGATTTTTTCTCCCTGTACAATGAAACAATCCTTACATGAAACTGAGTTGAGCAAAAAAAAAATTTTATAAATTTTTTCATTGTTATGGGCAACTCACGCTTGACCAAAAAATTACTATACCAACATTGTCTAACTGCCTCGGTGGCCGAACGGTTACCATGCCGGACTGCCATGCAGAGGTCCCAGGTTCGATTCCCGGGTCGGGAGAAATATTTGTATGGCCTACATTTATTTCTCTCGTGAGTTTGGGTGTAATTTGTGGTTGTCTACGTGTGTGTCCATGGCACCCGCGACACAGGGTTTCCCTAGTGCGGGGCTATGTTGAGTGTGTACGTTATTATTATTATTATTATTATTATTGTTCTCACAAAAAAAGACTTAATGATGCCTAAGACAGTTTCCATGTATCTCCTATTGTTTCGGAATTCCCGATATACAGTCCCAGTCAAAAAACAGACTGTACCTATACAAGTCGTTCTAATTTGGGACCCAAGTCTCTAACTTTTATTACACCTCCCTAAATTAAAATTAGTGTCCCTTAAAATCGGGAAGCGTAATAATCGTTTTTATATTACATTGGGCATACGTAGTAGGTACACTTGCGGCGTTTATTTACAGGCCTACCACTTAGCATGACTTAACTGAGTCGGTTACTGAGATAGCTGCGCGGTGCGGGAGGAGTGGCAGTTCACGTGACAGTTAAGTCGCGCTTCACACGGGATAATTTCAACAAATTTTGCTGACGATATTCAATATCAAGTTGATTCAAACAAGTTAATTGAAAAAAGTGCCAAATGGCTTGTCTATTCATTTTATTTATCAATTTTTTTTTTAATACAAATATCGAACACATCGAAAAAATTTCCGTAGCATTTCTCTAACCATCTGAGCCACGGGTCAAGTTCCCTAGTCGTCGAAATTCTCCCATGTGTTTTTATTATAGACCTTTGTACTGACTTTTCGGCATTCGTCGCCCTTAGTGACATCTAGTGAGATTTTTGAAAAACCTTCTCACCGCAGTCGATTCCTTTACAGGTATATCACAACTGACGCGGTGAGATGAAATTTTATCTGCGTGTTCGATCTTTGTAGTCGTAATCATAATAAAACTATACTCTAGCCAAATTCGATGTAGAAAAATGTCAACAAACAAAAACATATGATTTTTAGGGTCTTCATCTCAGACACTTTCGCAATTACCACAATTTCAATATATTCCTACGAAATTCAACTACATTGTGGATAATACTAAATCTTGAAGCCGTGTTTATAATGAATATTCTTCAACAGAAGTTTCAAACCACCTAAAAATGACATAAAAATGACCAGTAATTAATTATTTGTAAAACCGTGTCATCCCTATTGACATTTTGATTTGAAGGGAGAGATTGCAAGCATTCGAGTTCTGACTTAATTCAAGTTCAGAATCGAAAATATGGATGATATAATATTATGTGGTAAATTAATATCAAATAAATCTTACAATTTTTGTTTCTTTTCATCTACCATTACCTACTTATTTTTATACCTAAATCATAGGTATTTTGTAAACTTTATAATAAATGGCTAGGTAAGTATTACTTCTACATAACCCAATTACCTACTTATCTATTTAAATTCCAATTGAGAGACTAGGCCGTGGGCAGAGCAAGCCTTAATGATGAGCATTGAAAAAATGTTCTCCTATGCCATCATTCGTTGCCTAGCAATATTTTGTTATTAAACATTCTACATCGAATTTGGCTAGAGTATAGTGGAGTTATTTCACAAAAAATCTCAATAAATACATTTTTATTAACGTTTCACATAACAACAATTCACTAATTTGATAAGCACTTTTTTCAATCAACTGTTATTAAATATCATTCAGTTAAGCGGTAGGCCTGCATATAATAATTACGTCTGTGGTTTGAAACCATATTATAAACTATACGTACGTGAAAATATATCATTGTTAACAATGCAATAATAACTTACCAACGGATGGGTACGTTATGCAGTTTATATTTGAATATGTAGCATTTTCATAATAATATAAATTATTTCGATGTATCGGACCGCCTTTCCGCGTGAGGAGGGTACAATTCCATTCCAAGTAATTTGTATAGTATTTGGTATCCTACAACAAGGCAATAGATTTATTCAAGAAATGAAACAAAAGAATGATGAAATTCTGAGGATACAGCCCCACATCTTTCTACATTAGTTTTGAATATAGTGACCCTCTCTACCAACCCTTAAGATACTATTACCTATAGCACAGGAACCTTCTAAGTTCAGGTTCTTACCCCACATCAGCCAAACTACAGGGTTGTCACAGACTAAATTCATCCAGTTCTCAAGAGGCTAGTGCCACGGGTGAGACGCCCCGGGGGCACGTACAGTACCCTCCGTATTTCCCAGTTAGGTACCGGAACTGTGGGCACGCTCACTTCCCATTGCACTTTGCACAGCCAGCGGTTGCCACCGCTAAGCCATCGACTCTAAAATCCTCTACCAAATATCCTCATTGGTGGCGAAGCTGTGTACTTTCTGACGCCGAAAAGTGGCGTCTCTCCAGTTCCCAATAATCTAAGCTGCTGAAAGGACCAGAGGATATCTAGCTTTATGCTCTACTAGCTCTCCGGGCTAGTGCCGGAGATGCCAGTCGCAGTGTGCTGCGACTCTCGTCTAGACCGCTACTAAGACGCGCTAGCTACGCACGAGACAGATGCCCCGGCCACATTTTACCGGGGCAGACGAAAATATCCGTCTCCGCAACTCAGCACAAACCCCAACGAGTCCATACCCAAGTCCGGGTCCACCAGAGACGCCCGTCACTGTATTTTAAATTTAAATTTATATTGAATTGATATTCAATTACTTTTTATGAATATAAGTTTGTTATATTTACATTAACTAGTGGAATAATTTCACAAAAAATAATTGAATATCAATTCAATAAAAATTTAAAATACAGTGAATAGCGACATCTCTCGCCAGGACTGGTAACTGTAAAGATATCTAACTGGGTGATAAAACTTTCATAGATTTCTCATAGATGGCGCTGAAAAAACCAAATACAAAGATACGACGCATGCACACCGAAAAATTCGTGAGTTCCGCTGATTCGTTCCGTGCCTTAGTTGGTATAGCGTCTGGCACGGTGTGCTAGAAGACGTCGTTTCGAATCCGGCCGGATCGAAGGAATTTTTTCTGAGTGTTTGATCTTTGTATTAATAAATATAACAAACTAGTGGAGTAATTTCACAAAAA